AAAACACATCATGAAAGAGATTTCTGCCAATAAGTTATGGAAGGCGCTGGAAAACAATACATGAAGAGAAGTAATGAGAATCGGCTCTATTTGATTGAAAGATGTTTCGTCTTCAGTTGAGACCAGGTACGAAAATCAGTAGCCATATTGATACATTTAACAGATTAATTGCTGATTTGTTAAATTTGGATGAAACATCAAAGATGAGCATAAGGTATGTTGTTAATTGAATCTCTTCCAGATGAGTTGGACTATCTTAGTATTACACTTCTTCATGGGAAGAAAAATTGTCTTTGAAGAAGTTTGTTCTGCTTTGTCCAATCATGAAATTCGGAAGAAGGATCAGAAGGAGAATAGAGATGAGTCAGCAAAGCTCTGTTGCAAGAGGGCGGAGTCAAAATCAGAGTCGTAAGAAGGAGAGAAGAGGAAGATCTCGTTCTAAGGGAAAACTCAATAGGGATCAATGTGCCTTTTGTCGTGAGAAAGGGCATTGGAAGAAATATTGTCCAAAGTTGCAAAAAAGAGGGCAAAGCTGCTTCTAATGCAACGTTGTTGAGCGTGAAGAGGATGAGTCAGATTTAGGTCTAGTTAGCCTACCATTCACCTCTGGAACAATGAGTGGATTATGGATTCAGGTTGTACCTATCAAGTGTCCCCACAAGGAGTGGGTCTTTAATTTTGAAGAATTTGATGGTGGATGTTGTTTATATGGGCAATGATGATGCTTGTAAAACAACTGGGATAGGTTCAATTCGGTTGAAGAATATGATGGCTCAACTAGAACTCTGACAGATGTTCGGATGTACCGAAGTTGAAAAAGAATCTCATCTCTTTGGGAGCCTTGGAATCTAAAGGCTTCACAGTGAATATGCGAGATGGAATTCTAAAAGTTTCTTCAGGCGCTTTTGTGGTAATGAAAGGCACGAGGAGAAACAACTTGTATTACTATAATGGTACAGTATTGAAATGACAGCTACAGTCGTGCAGGGATGCAGATTCAGAAATGCTCAGCTATGGCATATGCGTTTGGGGCATGCAGGTGAAAAAGGCTTACTTAGTTTGGTGAATCAAGGCTTATTGAAAGGTGCAAAGACCTGTAAGCTGGATTTTTGTGAGCATTGTGTCTGGGAAAACAGACAAGAGTGAAATTCGGCACCGCATCCATAATACTAAAAGTATTTTGGATTATGTTTATTCTGATGTGTGGGGACCTACCAAAACAACATCTTTGGAGGTATGCACTATTTTGTCACTTTTGGAGATGATTTTTTCCAGAAGAGTTTGGGTGTATGTGATAAAAACTAAAGATAACGTACTTGGTGTTTTCCTTAAATGGAAAAAGATGATTGAGACTCAGACTAGCAGAAAGATCAAGCTACGTACAGATAATGGTGGGGAGTATCGTAGTGATCCATTTTTGAAAGTTTGCCAAGATGAAGGAATAGCGTCACTTTACAGTAAAGAATACACACAGCAGAATGGGTTGGCAGAACGCATGAATCGAACTATACTGGAGAAAGTTCGATGTATGTGTCCAATTCTGGGTTGGGCAAAGAGTTTTGGGCTGAGGCAGTTATATATGCGTGTGTCATTCATTAATCGTCTACCATCAACTGCAATTGAAGGCAAGACGCCGATTGAGGTATGGTTGGAAAACTTGTTTCTGATTAGACTCTTTACATGTTTTGGTTCCACTGCTTATTATCATGTAAAAGAGTCTAAGTTAGATCTAGAGCAAAGAAAGCAGTATTTATGGGGATTACCTCAGGTGTGAAAGGATACCGTCTTTGGTGTCCAAGTTCGAAGAAAATACTGTTTAGTAGGGATGTGACATTTGATGAGTTTCTAGTTAGAAAAAGAAAACAGGAAGCCCGATGAAGGTTTTCAGTACTCCGAACAGGTGGAGCATACTCAGCAGCAGGTGAGCATACTCAGCAGCAGGTGGAGTTTGAAACAACATCAGTTAGCCCAGCTGGAAATGAGACTCCTAGATAAAGGAGTTCATTGGAGATGAAGAAGAGGATTCTTCCCAAGAAACTCAACAAGAATCCATTGCTATAATAGGCCAAGACGAGAAATTCGGAAGCCTGTCGTTTTTACTGATACAGTGGCTATGCATTCCCAATTAAAGATGGTGAAGTTCCTTCCACTTATAATGAAGACTAGCAGTTCCGAAAATGGTAAGTGGAGGAAAGCCATGAAAGAAGAGATGCAGTCTCTCCATAAGAAATGAAACTTGGGAGGTTGTTCAATACCAAAGAATAAGAAGGCAATTGGATGCAAATGGGTATATGCAAAGAAAGAAGGATTTTCGAATTTAAAAGACATTCGATATAAGGCAAGGTGGTGGCGAAAGGCTACGCCAGAAGGAAGGAATAGATTTCAATGAGGTATTTTCTCCAGTTGTAAAGCATTCTTCCATAGAATTTTGTTGGCCTTGGTTGCTCAGATGAATCTTGAACTTGTTCAACTTGATGGTGAAAACTGCGTTTCTACACGGTGATTGGAAGAGGAAATCTATATGACTCAGCCAGAAGGATTTAGGAGTATTGGAAGGAAGATTGGGTTTGTAAATTGAAAAGATCGCTTTATGGTTTGAAACAATCTCCGAGGCAGTGGTACAAGGATTTGATAGGTTTATGATGGGTCAGGAGTACACAAGAAGCAAATTTGACAACTGTGTGTATTTTCAAAGGCTACAAGGTGATACTCTCATTTATCTACTTAATGTTGATGATATGTTGATTGCTTCAAAGAATGTAGAAGAAATTGAGAAGTAAAGGCTCAACTAAATCAAGAATTTGAAAAAGGAATTAGGGGAAGCCAAGAAGATCTTGGTATGGAGATAATTAGAGATAGAGGAAATGGCAAGGTTTGTTTGACACAAAAGCAGTATCTAAAGAAGGTCTTGCAACGTTTTGGCATAACTAAAAGTACAAAACCGTAAGTAATCCACTTGCTCCTATATAAGCTTAGTGCGTCATTATCTCCAAGTATGCATGAAGAACGAGAGTAATTGTCAAAAGTTCCATATTCGAATACGGTTGGTAGCTTGATGTATTCAATGGTGTGTACTAGGCCCGACATTTCACATGCAGTTGGAATTGTGAGCAGCTATATGCATGATCCTGGTAAAGGACATTGGCAAGAGTGTGAAGTGGATTTTACGGTATATTATAGGTACTGTAAACATTGGTTTGGTTTTTGAGCGGGATGAAAATCTTAGTCAATTTGCTGTGGCTATGTTGACTCTGATTATGCTGGTGATTTGGACAAGCGTCGGTCAACTACTGGATTGTATTTACTTGCTAGAGCTCCAGTAAGTGGAAATCTTCTTGCAGTCTACAGTTGCTTTGTCTACTACGAGGCAGAATACATGGCAGTTACAGAGGATGTGAAGGAAGCTATTTGGTTACAAGGCTATTGGATGAATTGAAAATTAGTCAGAAGAAGATCACTATCTATTCTGACAGTCAGAGTGCTATTCACTTAGCAAAGAACCAGTATTCACTTTCGCACCAAGCATATAGATGTTCGTTACCACTTTGTGCGGGAAATTATTCTGAAGGAAGAATCTTATTAGAGAAGATGGGACTGCTGAGAATCTGCAGATGTCTTAACAAAAATAGTGACAATGATCAAGTTCAATCACTGTTTGAACTTGATCAACATCCTGCGAGCTTGATTGTGCTTTTTGGCACATTTGGAGGTGTTGCAAAATTTGACAGAAGAATACAAAACTTTGAAGGTTTGCTAATTCGCCAAGATGGAGATTTGTTGAAAAATGGCTTTTAGCAAAAACACATGGGGTAGAAGTGATAATGGAGAAAGTTTAGGGACTTATATGTATAGGCAAAATGAGTTAGTTTGTCCCCAATTGAAAAGGAATGAAAAGTGGGAAACTTTGGGGCCTATATATAAGGACCCATATCATTGTTATAGGCATCCCAAGTGTAATTCATTATACTTCTTTTGTTTAGGGTTCTTTCTTTAAGGACCCTTTAGTTTATAAGTTTTGTTGTATCTCCCCTTTGTTTTGGATATTTGTGTATTGTCCAAAGTTTGTAATGTTTGGAGATAGTGGAGTTTTCTTTTACAGCGCCCGAGGACGTAGGTTTCAATACCGAACCTCGTTAATTCTGGTATTCTTTATTTTGCATTTAATTTGGTTATTTTTTATGTTTACTACTTGTTATTATATATTCAATAGCTAGCGTTAGAGTTTATGTTTCCGTTGCATAACATTTGATTTTTGTTTAAAGGAGGAAGCGGGTGTTGTTGGTGTTGAACAACAAACAGAGGAGTTGCTAGCTCGGTTGATCCTGAAACCCGATGGCGATGATGGAGGTCAGTCTGCTCAAGTCATAGGAGTGGTTGGTGAGGGAGGCTCCGGCAAAACAACTTTGGCAAGAAGTGTATACAATAGAGTTGATGTGAAGCAACATTTCACCCAACGCGCTTGGGTTCATGCTTCTAGTGTGCTCAAATCTAGAGACGTGTTCATAGACATACTAAATCAAATTCAACCAGATGGGTTCTTCCTGGAAGTAACAATTTCAGAAGAAGAAGCAATGTTTAAGCTCACTCAACTCTTAGAAGATACCAGGCAAGATACCAGGCATCTTATTGTCATTGATGATATCGAGGCGCGCCAAGTTTCTCAATCTCTCCAAGATGCTCTTTGTTCCTCATCATCTCATGGTAGCAGAATAATTATCACTACTCGAAATAAAAGAAATTTACCATTGGAGGCTGCTCATTCAGCTCTACATGTACGCCGATTAAACCCTGAGAATGGCTGGAAATTGTTCTCAAAGAAGGTACTATCAGAAGCAAAAGATGATTCAGAGTAGATAAAATTAAAGGAGCAAATCCTAAATCTAACTGGTGGTTTATCTTTACAAGTGGTGCTGCCTGGAGGTTTGTTGTCTACGAAAGAAAGAAGCTATGATAAGTGGTCAAAAGTGATTGAGCGTGCAATTACAAATTTTGGGGAAGATATGTTGGCTTTAAGCTATCAAGATTTACCGCCACAAGTAAAGCCATGTTTTCTTTACTTGATGCTCTTTCCTAGAGCATTTGAGATCCCTGTGAGGAGGTTGATTCATCAGTGGTGTGCTGAGGGATTTACAAAATCGTTTGATTCTCATGATCAAGATATAGTCCCTGAAGATGTAGCAGAAATGTACTTTGAAGAACTAGTTATCAGAAACTTGATTCAAGTAACTATATGGAGATTAGATGGACGTCCAAAATCATGTCGCATCGCTACAGTTGTATATGATGCCTTCTGTCAAAAAGCATCGGATCTGGGATTCGTTTATAATCCACTCCATTCATCTCATACATCCACCCAATTTGTTGTTCGGCGACTTTCACTGTACTTGAATGTCATCAAGTTCCCCACTCCAAATCATCCTCATCACTTTCGCTATATACGTTCTTATGTTGCTTTTGACTCCCAAATACGACGCACAGGTACTAAAGGGATTGCATCCTTCCTCAAGTCCTCTATATCAAACAGGGGGTTTTGCTTGCTGAAGGTGCTTGATCTTGAGGGTGTATACAAACCTGAGATAGATGATGATGTTTTGGAGAAACTATTGCGTTTGAGGTACATAGGCTTGAGATCAACTTTTATTGAGTACCTTCCACGTTCTGTGAGCCAGTTGCCAGATCTGGAGACTTTAGATTTGAAGCACACTCGCATAAGAGACATATTATATCTTGTATGTGGTGCAGAGAAGCTGCAACATCTCTATTTGAACTGGATTTATCAGGATAGGGCTAGGTGGGGAGTCTATTTGCCGTTACTAAAGAACCTTCGTACTTTATGGGGGCTAAGGTTGTGTGGTGGTCTTCGTAACATAGATGATCTCAACAAGCTGACATGCCTCAGAAAGCTAGGGCTGAAATTTAAGGAATCTGTCAACAAGTCAACAATATTTGAATGGGTTTCTCAACTTACTAAACTTCAATCATTGAAGCTGGGATGCTTAGAATATACTCCAGGTTCAAGATTGTTGAAAATGGCAGAGCATTACAAGCTAAATGACCTGTATTTGGGAGGTACACTGCTACCACAAAAATCTGAAGAATTACTTCATTTTTTTCCTCCAAACCTCAGGAAGTTAACTTTGTCTCTTTCAGAGATAGAATACGATCCAATGCCAATACTAGGGGAGTTGCCTGACCTAAACATCCTGAGGCTTTTGGCTGATTCCTACAAGGGTAAACAAATAAAATGTTTATCCAGAGGATTTCCCAAACTTCATGTCTTGAAACTTTGGAAGCTTCAAGAGTTGGAAAGTTGGATAGTGGAGGAAGAAGCGCTGCCTCGCCTTATAGAAACAGAGGTCAGAAGCTGCAGAAAATTGACATCCATTCAAGGGTTGGAAAATGTTACCACTTTGAAAGAAATAGTATTAACAAGCATGCCATCGGAATCTCACTCGCTGCTTCACCATAAAAATACATCCATCAAAATTAACAAGTGGCGTAATCCTCCTCTTTGACGTTTGCCGGTGAGTTCCCAACTCTTTAATTTCCTTCTACTTTAAATTTAGGTACTTCAAAAATTACGAAGGCCAGTTTTTGCCCAGCTTATTCATTATTGTTTTGATACTCTCCATTTAATTAAGAGTGAAAGTATTAGTCCTAGTGGTGTAAAAACAACGGGGCGAGGCCGGGCCCGGGTTTTTAAAGTAGTTTAGTAGGCCTTTTATTTTAAAATTAAAGAAACTTTACTTCCTAAAATACTCTATTTAAATTTTTTTTTAATTATTTTTTTTTTCTTAAAACACCCCTACAAATTCTATAAATACCCCTCATTTAATTTTTCTTCTTTAAAAGAATAAACGATTTAATTGTCTCACTCTTGCTATATGGCCCCATTATTATTATGCGTAGAACAAAGTTTTAAATATTGAAAATGAAAGTTTAAAAAAAATAGAATAAAACAAAAGCAAAAAGAAATTCTTACAAATAATTAATCAATTGACATAATTTAGCTAAACAATTATTGATATTAGAATAATTATTAATAATTTGAAACAAAAATATTAAATAACTTGCATTGACCAAAAAAAAAAAAAAGTAGTAAAAATCTTACAATTTATATTGCTTGTTAACATAATATACTTTTAAAAAAAATTTATCCATTAATATCTTTTAATTTTAAAAGTTTTTTCAATTTTATCGCAATGTAATATTTGAATAAGCATATAAGAATTAAAGTTTGTGATATAGAAGGCAGTGTGTTAAAAGTATTTGTAAAAAAATAAGGAAATGAAGATAAGTTTAATAACTTGATATAAGGATAAACGGGAACTTATAAAAAATAATTAAAAAAGGGGGGTTTCTTTAGTCCCTTAATGGGGTGTGAATAGAACCACTCTTCTTTTAAAAAATAATAATAACATTAGACTTACAAAGTCTTCTTACAAAGAGATAAATACAAAGTGATGTGGCATTACCCTTTAAATGACATATCAATTCGTGAATTTCCTTTTTATTTATTTATTTATTACTTTAGAGATTTGTAAATTCTAGGCATTATTGTTTTTATAGGTATCAATTTAATTAAAGTTTAAGAGATTTGTGATTCTCTGTTTTTTACTTATTTATTCAAAATTTAAATGTTTGTCATCAAAAGATTATGTCTATATAATTGGAGGTCTTTGTAGATTAAAGTGAAAAAAGGAAAGAAATTATTCTAAGAGATGATTCTTGTAAGGAAAATTATTTAAAAGAATGATGCTACTCATCCCAAAATTTTTTATCTTAGATTATCTGTATATGTAATCCTATGTGGCAATGCATGTAAGTGAAGAGATGATTTAGCAAATATATGATTTGGTAAATTAGTTAATTTCCCTTTTTTTTTTCCTTTAAGAATTGTAAATTCTAGGTAATATTATTTTCATAGGTAAAAAATATAATTGGAGGTCTGTATAGTTTAAAATGAAAAATAAAAAAATTATAAGAGAAGATGATTCTTGCAAGGGAAATTAGTTAATTTGTCCACTTTTTGAACTTCGCGAAGATAATCGACGACTTTCATCATTTGATACTAACTACTTCTTCTGGATATGCATGTTCTTAAGTCCTTCGAGAAGAAACCAAAAGGAAAGAAGGGAAGTCTAGCACTTAGCAAGAAGATATCTAGAACGAAGGAGTGGAGGGCCAGAAGAGAAATTGACAATCTTCCCTATCTCAGAAGAAGGTTGGTAAAGGTCATTAACTTTTCATTGAGTCATGTTTAGGGAATAGAAAACTATGAATGAGAGCTAAATTTGCGATTGGTGTCAGCATATGCAGTGGGAGATCTGTATTTTTATTCTGATAGTTTGTGTTTTATACTTATAATTGAAACACCATTATATTGATGACTTTAAACAAAAGTTTGATTGCGCTTTCTTCAATAATGAACCATGGTTGTTCGGTTTCTTTTGCTGTCGATATCTTTACTAGCAATTTTTTTAAAACCCACTCGGGGTGAAACCCGGCAAAGTGGCCGGGTCCTGCATTGACCGATTAAACCGGTTATCCTTGAGTCCACACTTTGTCATCAATCCATATTATTTAGAATGAAGTGTAATGGATAATCCTAAAATGATCACATTAATAAAACCCACACTATGTCATCAACCTAAATTATTTAGAATGAAAGGTAATGGACAATCCTAGAATGATCACATTAAGTTCATCATGATATCTCTATGCATTTACCCGATTTTATTAACCAAAAATATAATTAATGTTAACTCACAAGGGAAATTTTCTAACATCTTCATCTCGCGGGTGAATAGAATGTTATTCCGGCTAAACAAAGGCATGAACTTAATGGAGCGCTGCTTGACATCCTTCTTTAATATATTTTCTCTATCACTCTGCAATTTTTCTTTCTCACTCTGCAGTTTCTCTTCCTCACTCTACAACCAATCTTTCTATCTGTGCATTATTTTTCTCCTACTCTGTCGTTCTCTATAATCTTTCTACACTTCTGGTTCTATCTCGTTCATAATCTCCAATTTCCTGAGCAAATCTACTCTCCAAGAATGCCCACATTCTTTGTGACAAAATCTCCACTTTCCAATAGCAATTCCTCACTCTCCTTTTGCAATTATACTCTCTCTCTGCAACTTTTTTCCCTCTCTCTGCAACTCTTCACTCTCTCCCTGCAACTTTTCACTCACGCTCACCATCTCTTCACTCTGTCCCTGCAACTCTTTACTCTCTCTTCGCCACTCTTCAGTCTGTCTCTCCAAGTCTACCCTCCGACAATTAGATATTATACTACTATTACGCAATGTTTCACTCTCTGTGCACCATCTTCTTCTNAGTAATGATGATATTTCCGGGTCTGAAATTATATTGTTTTTCTCTTAAATTAACTTAACAGCTCTTAATTTATTAACATCTAATATATGTTTTACTTTTATTATTTTTCATGATTAAATCCAGGTGCCTCCTGTTCTATTTTAAATATCAATATTTTAAAATTATTTTATTTAACAATATTATAACGTTGAATAAAAACATACTGTACTTTAATTTAAAGTCTTAATATTTGTAAATATTTTATATCGATTAATACAATTAAATATTATTTACTAAATATTAAATTTAATTTTTGGGGGTTATGAATGTAGATTCATGAGTGTTAATTTATTTTCGGGTTAATAAATTTATTTTTCTTAACTTAAATTATATATACATATATATTAAATTTATTTTTCTCAACATTATTTTAGTAAGCATTGTTTTTTATTAAAGAAATTTTTGCTGTATACTTGTAAGTTTAAAAGTTTATTGTCATAAAAGTTTCTAACACAAAATCTCCTTGCTCAGTATGCTGATTACATAGCATCAAGGAAGTGTCTACCAAAGCCTTAGATAATGCTACCCTAGACAAGCAATCCTATTAGAACTCAAGCCCAATGAATAACCCAACCCAAAAGATCAGTATGATAAGTAGAAGAGCCCCTAGGTCTAAGTACCACACTTGGTGAGTATAAGATCCCAATGTAGGATCCTAACATTGCACGGCTCTTAAGAGTCAACATCTACGATGACTTTCATTCTATCGACATTGACCCGACGGTAGCCCTTTCCCCCTTTAGGCGACTTCTCTCACCTATCAGTTATTATATGCACATTGCATCTTAATCTAGCCTATAGGGGTGGGATAAACCAGTTAACCGAACCGGTTTATCCAAACCGAAAACCGAACCGGTTTTGGTTAAAAACCGAATATAAACCGAACCGAATTTTCGGTTCGGTTTCCGGTTAACCGGTTTGAAAACCGGTTTTCAAATTACCTTTTAATCCATAAAATTCTTCAATGTTTTATTCAAGCCCCTAAATTTAAATATTTATTATTTTATATATAATGTCATATTATGTTTCTCTTTTATTTTGTATTCTTTGTATGAAAAATACATTAACATATTAAATTACTTATTTGCAGATACTGAATCCAGAATATGAAATAAAAACATAAAGAATTCAATTACACATCANTAGAATTAGAATAATTTGTAAAGTTATATAAAGCCCAAAACAATTAGGGTTTGACAGGCAATAATAAATAAAAGTTCTCTTCTCCTAAACTCACAATTCTATGGTGCGTTTGGTTCATTATTTTAGATAGGATTTAGAGAATAATATTGAGTAGTTGGATAGGGGAGTATTACGAGGTAAAATTTAAAAATTTATGAAAAAGCCCCTAGGTTTGCTAATTTAATTAAACACCCTAATATATAAAATGACAAAAACACCCCCACCACCTGCAGTGCTAGATTCCGGCCACCACTACCGGAATCTGGCCGAAAAATTTTGTTACGACACAAACCGGTTGGATCTGTGTCGTAATGTGTCGCTATGGAGGTCAGATCTACGGCCAAATGTTACCGTCAACGGCCGGAAAAGGCCAAAGAAGTCCATCTTTGGTCGTTGCTGACGGCCAGATCGGTGAACTACCGGCCAGTTATGATCATGGTGTAGGCCGTTGTACAGATTCCGGCTACCACCGACGGTGGTTGCCGGAATCTGGCAAGTATGGGTTGATGGGGGTGTTTTTGTTAATTTTTAAACTTTTTTTCTGGGGGTATTTAATGAAATTAATAAACTTAAGGGGTCTAAAAGTAATTAAAAATATATAGTAATATTTCTGGAATAATGTGCCAAACAATATTTGGAGAATAAGATTGGGAATATGGGTAGAAATATTGAACCAAACGCACCCGTTCTTCTTGGAGTTTCTGTTTCCTCATATAAAACAAAAACACTACTCTATCATTAGTGCTCTCATTCCTTTTCCATGGTGAATGGAACAAGGACTTTAGATGATCAAGGGACTTTGGATTATCTTATTGAGGTGTTTACTAAACTATTGAGAGAAATGAATACACCCTTCCTTTAGGGTGAGAATCAACTATTTATACTGTTGCATGAGAGGTCTTACTTATAAAGTAATTCTCTCGTCACATAACATATGGCCTGACAAACCGCC